ATGTGAATAAAACGAAAAGACAAAATAGTATCGATAATAAATTATTGATTGCAAAATTACAAATCAATGATTATAATCCTTCATGCGATTTAAAAAACTATGTTTTACATAGTCTAGATATAAAATTTTCTTTTTTCCCCAATCGGTCAGAATCGAGAAAATCGAGAGAACATAAAATCTCAGAAGATCTACGACATAATTACACCGTGCATCACAATTTTTCCGTCACGCGATACTCCTACATTAAAAAGCGGATCTATAACAGCGATCAAACGACTTTTACTTGGCGAACTCGGCAGGGTCAATTCTTACTCTCATCTGATTGATCACGTTTGCTCTTAAGACTTTGATTGATTAGTCTAACCAATGTATGTCTAAGAAAACGTTTCTCTTTAATTTTTTTCAATCTTCAATCGGACATTCATCGATTTATTCAATTATTTTCTTTGTTTTACGTATATCGATTTTGATTGAAAATTCTTTGTCTAGACAAGATGTCTATAAATTTCTATTATATAAATATTGAAATAATTGTCAAGTAAAAAATTTTTCTGTTTCAAACAGTATTTTCTATTACAATTACTATATATATGATTTAAGATCATTTGAATATAGTGTTTTAAATTTTTCTCTCTTACTCTTTTATTATATGGAAATAAAAATATGGTGTACCATTAAAAAATGAATAATGATTTTTAAGTGATCTAAAAAGAAAATGTAAAAAAAAGTTTTTACATTTGCATATCATTCATCATTTAAAACTTGTTTTATACAAACGACAGAAATTTTTAGACACCCTGTATATTATTTGCTAATCAATGATACATGGAAGGAATACGAAATGTTGCAAGCATATAAATATATATTATGTTGCAAGCGAAAGATATTAACGTTCTTTCATAAATTATAGCACTTTGTGTCGTTCGAATGTAAAAAAGATTATACTGGCTTTAATTTAATTTATTATTAAATTCTATGTTTCATATAAACATATATATATATATGTACATATATATAATATCTTTATGATTTATGATGGATACAATGGATAGTACAAATGGTTCAATAATCAAATTAATGTTATTTTAATTTAATCCATATGATTTTGAGCAAATGATCACCTTTTCTGTATACCAGTATTCTACCTTTCTAGATTTGATCTTTTAATCCTCGTTCAATTATATGGTACAAATTGTTAAACAAGATAATTGCCGGATCATTAACTGAAATGACTTCATCGTTCACTAACATATCTAATACTTCTTAAATAAGAAGTCTTTACCATTCGACAAGAACATTACTATTTTCATCTTGTTTGATTTCCTTGTTACTTAAGTTTATCAAAATAAATGTTAAATTCTAATCAATAATATTTTTTCTTTTTCGATCTATATTATATTACATTAAAAAAGTATTAAGCGATTATATTGTCTGTCACAATCAAATGATATATAAATATATGTATAAATTATGAATATTCTTATAAAGTATTTTATAATGTATTTTATTAATGCATATATCAAAATAATATAATAAGTGAAATAAAAATAAAAAGTTAATATAATAATCCATTTTGAAAACATTACATATTTAATAATAAACTCTATTCGAGAATTAAAATATTATATATTATATTATTTCTCTAAAAAATTTCTCATGTTAAAAATTTTCATAATTTTTCCAAATACATATCACTTTGATTTTTTTTTATAGATACAATTAAATTTTAATTTTATACCTTTCAAAAATTTATCAGTGTAAAAGAAATTTTAAATTTGTAATTTAAAATTTAATGATAAACAACATAAAACAATCTGATACAATAATATAGCAAACTATGGCAAATAGCGTAAAACAAAAAAGTTTCCTTTCGTACAATTAAATCGAAAATATTAAAATAAGGGAATATCTCTGCAATAAACATAAAAAGAAATCAAAATCCACTTGCCGATTTGCTTAAACAAATGATAGCGTCCGATTTGCTTTCGTTGTTATGGTTTGATTGATCGCGACTGCTAATCGATGATCCACAGCGATGCATCGTTCACGATTTGTACTCGTCACGTTACTTTCTACGATTTGCAATAGCGCTATCTAATGCACGCCTAGCCGTGAGGAATAAGCTATTAATGTTCAACATGGAATCCTTTGATTAATCAAACTTTTTACAAACTTCTTGATCTAAATCGAACACTTGAAACCAATGATACTTTGGTCACTTGCATCATCGAGATCGATATTATTGCTTATTGTTTCAAAATTTTTTCGCAACATCTAGCAAATAACTATATAAAATAAATTCATCTGGTCATAGATGAATAAGATTTGTAACAGATATGTTAAATACATTAAATAATTTTTTAATTATTTTATGTTTTTTTTATTTTATTTTATTATTACAACTTTCTTTTTTATTTTTTGTAATTTAACTAAAAGTGGAATTAGCAAGATGGAATTATATCGATTAATCATAATCTTTTACACGTTCATAGTAAAGATAGTAGTTATTTAGGAATTTAGATATAAAAATGATGATTAAAGAATTTTTAATTAATCATTTGTTTAATATTTTTTTCAACTTAAGGAGAGATATGACGTAATATACAAATTATTATAGCTTGAAAAGTTGTGTAATTACCCAAATTATATATATAATAAATATAATATAATATAAATACAATAAAGCTGAAATGGAAATTTTTGCAAAGGAAAATATTGCTTGAAATTCGATTAAATTCGCTTAGAAATCTCCAGTTAAGCGATGTTCTCGCATTTTTAGGAGACTTTATATAAAATATAAAGATTAAAAATTATACTTTTATAATTATCTTGAAAACTTATCAATAAATGAAAAGTAAAGATTTCAAATTAACAAGAATATAAGATTAATTAAATTATTTAAAATATAATAAAACATTTAGATTAAAATTAAAATATGAATTGAATATTTTTAAATCTATTTTTTATTCAATGAAATTATTATGACTCTTAATCTCTTACATGAAATTATTTTGAGATCACTCAAATACAAATTGAATAAAAAAGAAATCATTTAAAATAAAATTATCAAATGAAATTCCTCACGCCAATATTTTCGTCATTCTCGTTCCAAAATTTCGTTTGACAACGAAATCGTGATCATAAAGTTCAAGTAGGCAACTTGTATACCATGTATGGTAACAAATTGTATTTAAATTATCATAAATCATTAATCTCGTGCAATTTGTCATCGAACAAGTTGATTCAATTACATAATCAATTACAATATTTCATTCGCTTTAAATTCTCACGACTTTTATATATAACTTTACGCAATGAACCTTAAGCAAAGTACACGTTTCTTATGTAACAAAAATCAAATGTCCCTTACCATCGCACAATTCGTTCATAAAAGAATTCTTTATATTGCATATCTTTCTTTCGAAAGACCTTCCTTTCACTGATTACACTTACATTATATTTTATTGAAGAATGTATCCATCCATTTGAAAGTTTATTTGATTCTTATTAATTGTAATACAGAATAAAAATTTTTCTTTTAAAATTGCACGTTCAGGATACATTTAGATTATGTTAAATTAGAAACTTAAATCCTTAACTGCTACTTTGGTAAAGTATCTTTTTATATTAGAATTTTTATTTAATCAAGAATTTTTATTAATTAATCAGAGCATTATCATGAGATTTAATGTATTTCTATTTCATCATGCAGAAAAATATTCAATTCTGAATACATATATCTTAATTTGAATCATAATTCTTTGTAAGTATCATTCAATATTATGTTGTAATTGTAAAAAAATATAATATTTTGATATAAAAATTAATTTTTTATTTAAGGATATGACATTTTTTTAATAATTTTACCACGATTTCTGTCTTTTTCAAAAGACAATCATAGAAATAAATTCGAAAAATCAAAATCAAAAACCAAATAAATTCAATAATTACAATCAGTAAAAAACATCTTAATAAATGAACAGTGAAATAAAAAATTGTAAATTTCTTAATTTAATAACAGGTATCTCAAGTTATCCAAGCAACCACAATATCAATCTTTTGACCAACATACAACATTTCCTATTTCAAACTTACTTCCTGTATTACATTTTAACACATTTGTAACAATAGCGACAACAATAGTTCAACATATAGTTCGATTTCAAACTAGACGGAAAGATAAACCAAACATATAGTTAATGGTCTAATAAAATCATCAATAAATGTTTATTTATATATATTAGTATATTACCTGTAAAAATAGTTAAATATTTAAATTAGGCTAGTAAATGTAGTTAATTTCGATTATGAATAGAATAAGCGAAACAACCAGAAAAGATGGAAAGTAGGAGTGAAAATAAAAATATAAATTTCATTTTGAGATTGGCAAATTGATTGATTTATAGAATATTATTAATGACATTAGTTATTAGCAATACATTATTCTAGGCATTGAGGGTTGTAAACAATGAAACATGTACTTAAAGAACCAATAAGATAAAATTGATCGCCTTAAATAACGCGGAATAAGATATTTGACGATGATAAATTGAAATATTCATTTCTGAAACTAACCTAAACGTACCAGTCGCATCATCCTCCACGAATGAACCAACTCATTTTATTTTGCAGAATCTAAGAAACCGCGAAAAAAATAAAAATCTTTAAAAATTTCATCTCAGAACGACAATGCATATCCGTAATTACCAATTCCGGGAGTCGGGTGGTGACTTTCGATGTATATTTCGAAGAGCGTGCAGATACAATCGATGTCTCGAATTGAGAGCAACAGTCTGCGGCTCGTTTAGAGAAAGGAAAGTCAAACGCGTATGGGGTCTACGCCTCCTTCTTCTCGCCTTTTCTTTCCTTCTCCTTCTTTGCCACTTTTCCTCTTCTTTGCCGCTTAACTGCTCTCGCGTTCTCTCTTACCGAGATTGTTAGCTCGAAGTAAGGTAACTTGTCCCCTCTCCTTCCCTTTTCGTGTTTCACGCTTTTGGGGAGCTTTCCACCACCATACGCCACCGTGTAACGAAGTCGATAAAGAACTACATGGATATGCGCGTCTTGAGAGTAAGGTTATACCGCATTATATGAGACACTCGATCAGTAAGTTTCTAACCAACAATCACTCGACACTGAGGTATATCCAGTCAGTAATCACTGACTATATCGACTGAATCAGTAGAAGTGACTGACTATTTGCACGACCGTTGCGCTGTCTGAGATACTGGTGTCGAATTTATTTTGCCAACGTGCTTCCGGAACATCGTTTCATCTCTTTTATTTTTGTTTCGTTTTATTTTAATTCTGTTCTTCCGATTCTTCGATCTTCATTCGTGGAGATTGATCGTTGATTTAAGAAAAACGTAGTTAAAAAGAAAAGTGTGTCGAAAGTGTTATTCGCGTTCCTTTTTCGAGCATTGCCTTTGAACATTCTTCGTTTTAATTATCTACTAAAAAGATCGGTTTACTGAAGATTGGAACAGCAGCGTGGAGCACGTGGATACAGAATGTTGAGGTAAGATATTATTAATACTTTGTCACGTTTTATTATTTTTGAAGATTAATATAGCATAACGAAGCTATATTACTAAGAATTTAAATTAAAGAACTTAAATCCCTTTATTATTAAATTTTTTTTGAAAATTATATATACAGCTTGCTTCTCGAAATAAACTATAAAAAAATAAATAATGAAAGTCATTGATGTTAGCAATTTTGTTTGGAAGATAATCACAAAGAAGTAATGTATTCATAAATTAGAAAAAGTATAGATTAGCTATTATTTAATCACTTTGGTTAAAAAAATTTCTTTGTTCAAAAACGATAAAATAATTAATTGATTCATGTTGATTATCTTTGTACTTAAGACATTAAAATATTTTTTTCTTTTACTCATAATCATGAAGAAATTATTTAATAAGCAGTTCACAAACAAGGAAAAAGTTAACATTTCTCACGGTAATGAATACATAAGACAACAGCAACAATAATGTAATTATACAACCGACCATCATATTCATCCCAGAGTTTTCAAACCGCATCTTAATAGACTATTTGTAATTATAGAATCGCCATTCATGGAAACTAACGACCGATAAACTGTGCTTCTTGCGTACCCGAGTTTAAGGTTGTCACGCGTGTTTCACAATACACACATAAAGGAACACAGCTCGGCGCAATAACAATTACAGAGCTCTCTCTCTCTCTCTCTCTCTCGTAAAACTCCATTATGACGTAATCCATTATTACCGTTAACGACTAGTCGATTACCTTAAAGGATCGCTCTATTTTCGATCGTTTCGCGCGGCGGCCAAACGAAACGCAATATTATAGCCATCATTGCGATTCGACGATGACATAACAGCTCACGTTCGACACGTTTCCACCGTAATGTTTCCACCGAGCGATCACTGTGGAGTTTCGATTTTCTGATTTAAATCTAAGCGGAGACTGGGTCCGATATTACCGATCGAGCGACAAGTATGTCAGAAATACGCGAAATTAGATTCAATCAGTCGTTGCATCGAGAAAAGTGAAAGGAGAATCCGCAGCGAGAAAGTAATCTTTATTCCGATCGGAACTTTTATCTTAATCGGATTTGGTACGCATGATCATCCAAGTGAACGATGTTGTCAATGATCTATTGAATTTCTAACGGAAAATTTGAAATCGACGATTTTCTATCTATAAGTGAAATTTAATATACGCTCTTTTGTACATATATAATCAATCAAATGTTTTCACATATATTTCAACTTTCAATTTGATATTTTTCATTGGTAATTATATTTATTTGATAACTTTTATTTTAGAAAATATAAGAATAATTTTGTTTTATATTTTTATAAACATTGTGAGTATACGAGATGTCCAAGTATCGATGGTTTAATCGAAATAAAATCTTTTTGATTCAAGATCTTATTTTCAAAAATTCAATTTTGAAAAATTTTCAAGTACAAATGATTTTCGTCAACTTGAATATAAAAAACAGTATTTCACGTGAAAATAACAACAAAATATTTAAAAAATAATTTTATTATTTAAAACTTTCTGGTAGAATTCTTTCTGAAAAGTCGAAATTGAAGATATATAATTAAAAAATAGCCAAAAATAAAAATTCTGAAAAATAGAAAAAATTTTATTTTTCATATATAGATTAACTCTATGCTAATTCCAATTGAGAATTAGTAAAATTAATTTTAATTATAAATTAAAAAGTTCTTAAACTTGATTTTCGAAAATGAAATCTTAAATGAATAAATTTTTTTCAATTGAAACATTGTATACAATAAATCATACATATATAAGTGATTATTTTTAGAATAATGATACTATCTCAAAAGAATAAAATCAACTCTTCAAATATTTATATTTCTTTCTAAAAATTATAAATTAATAAAAACTTTAATATAAGATAAAGCAAAATTTTAAACAAAATGCTCTCTCTATTAAAAACTATTTCTTAATTATATTCAAAAAATAGTGGAAATTTAAAGATTCATTCCCATAATCCATTATGTCTTGTAATGACACGAATACATAAACTTTTATTAAAATCAGAATTTTGGAAAGATTATAATTTATTAACACTTTTATGATTAACTTTATTATGGATATGTATGATATATACTTTCTGATAACAATGAATGAGAATTTTTAATTATTAAAGATTACTAAAATCTAAGATGGTAATTAGATATTAAAGAGAAATTAAAAATATTTAAATGAAGCAAACATATAATTGATTTTATTTCTTTGTGAATATTCAAATGAATATTTATTTACAAATTTATAGTTGATTGAATTTTTATTATTTATATTATTTGTATATAAAAAATCATAAAGAAAATATAATGAGCCATATTGTCTGTTTTTTATTTTTAAAATTCAAAATATATTTCAAAAATTACCTTTCTATCAAAATGATATTCTAAAGATGATATCTATTCAATAAAAATATTTCTATGTAACATATATAAAAAGTATATTATATTTATTCATTAAATTAATTTTTCTTTATTTGTTCTATATTACGTAAAATTATTATAAAGCATGGATTATTTAAGTAATAATAGCAAACATGTTTTCTTTAAACAAAATGTGTTTTTGTTTATTTTAAATATTTCATGAATATATATGATTGTATTCTTGATAATATAAAAGGCAATATAATTGTCTATTTTTTAAAAATTATAATTCTTTTAATTATATTAAAAAAATTTAAAAATCAACAAAAATGTTATTACCAGGTATTTCTGATAAATGTTTTTCGTACAAAAATTATATATTATATTTTTATTATATTATATTATATTATATTATTATATTATATATTATATTATATATTATAAATAGTTAATAGTTTACATTATAAAACTTTATATATATTTTATATGAATTATTATAAATGTTATTTTTAAAATTTTCGATTTTCAATTTTGCATCCGACATTTATATATTGTAAATCTATCGTAAATTGATAGGAATTTGAAGGAAATACAATGAACGTGTTAAATCATTATGTACATTGTTCATGTAACTTAACAAATATTTTAAGCATAAATATTTAAATAATACAATAGAATTTTTATAAGATATAATATTATATAAATTATCAATTGTTAGTCAACCATTATACAATGAAATAAACTATTAATCTTAAACATTTATTTTTTAAGTAAATAATAAATTTCTTTTCTTTGTTTGTTTTCTTTTATGAAACTACTTTCATAAATTATTAATTTCATCTAATAAAACTTATGAAAATTACGAAGAATATTTTTTTATTTTATTATGAAAAAAATTTTCAATTAAGATTAAAGCACATGGATTCAAACCAATTGAATTCATTTATGAAAAATATATAAAAAGAAAAATAAAATATTCTTAATTATATAATTAATCACTATTAAAATATTTTTTAAATATCATCAATATAATTTATTTGGGAAGAATATAACTCTTTTTACGTCCATTCTCAGTTCTCGTTCGAATGCCTGCGGTTTCGTATTTTTTCAAAGCCATTCCTTGACTTTTCAGCTTTCGCTGATTTCCGGTACGTCATACGATTTCTTATGCTTCTCGATCCGATTTCTCATTGTTACGCGGTTAGAATACTGAACCAATTCAAATAATTCGTCGAAATGATGTGTTTGAATTTCTCTTGATAAAAAAAAAAAAGAAAAAAAAAAAGAAAGAGAAAATTTAGAACTGCATCGAATTTACAATATTATTGTATCTACGATATGTTGAAAATCATAGAAAATCGTCCAACATCGTGACAACGATCATAATCATCGGTGAGAATAACTTGTCGTTGATGAGTTGACTATTATTCATTATATTACCGACAATGTAATACTAGGTTATATTTTATTTAATGTTGTGCTTGAGAGACTCGTTTCGATGCTTTACCATCTTCAATTTCACAATGATTTCGTTGCGTGTCGTTATTCATATATTTATGAAGAATCGCGATCGCTCGATTCTCTATTGACAAGGCACATTAATCATTTCGTAATGACTGTTGATTATGTCATACAAGTAGATGAAGAAATGGAATTTTATGTTTGAAAATTTATTTATTAAATGCATTAGAAAACTTTTATTTTGACTCGAAATAGACTTTTTTTTATAAAATATCCTTAGATAAATTTTTCTTTCAATATTAAATTTTCAATGTAAAAAAAATTAAAATTGAAAATTTGTTGTATTCATTAATATTTAATTAAATTTTCATCAATATTTGGATTAATTAACATTGAAAAAAAGTATCATAGTCAAAATTTTATTTTACTGCTCAAAAATATCTTCTTATCGATTTTTATATATATATATATTCAAAAATATAATAAGCTGTTCAAATAATAATAAGATAATATAAGATAATAATAAGATAATCATAAAGTTTTAAATATTATTAAAGTTTCTTATAGAAATTTAATTAATAATTATATAAATATCTTATATTATAATATATATATTATAAAAATCAAATTTTGTATACATGCAAAACATAATGAATTATAGTACAATAGAATACTATAGAACAATTTTTTTTTAGTAGAATATTACTTTAAAGTTTTCAATCGATCCTTAACATATTGTTTCTTTTATTTTTTTATTTTTTAGAAATATAATTTTATAATAAAGTATGAAATAAATTTAATCAAAACTTTGAATATATAAAATATTTAGATTTTCTCTATCACTTCATTGTAGAAAATATTCTATAATATGGTATACAATTAAAAATATATTCTATAAATATATATTGTATAATTTTAAATATTATTGTATAATTCTGTAAAGAATATTAAATTTCAAAGATATGAAAAAATGTTGAAAAATGTTAATTTCATCTCTTGGAATAGATTTTTTATGAAAGTAAATTATAATTCATTGATTCTATATACACTTTTAATAAACTTTTATATATAAAAGTTTTTATATACTTTATGAGAATTCAATTAAAAAATTATGTTATAAAGCTATTAATAATTCTGTTTTATATTATAAGTATGTGTATATATATACATATAATTTCTTTGTTGGAATATTCATTTTAAGATGATAAAATTAATCTTTAAATTATTATTTTCATTTCTTATATATAAATATATATATATTATATATATAATTGATATAATTTCATATTATGAGATAAACTATAAAATAATTAGATTTTAATATTCCATTATTCTATTGTGTATAAAAATATTTCTAAACAAGTCATGTACAAAATATAAAAAAATGAAAATTCGAAAATTCATTTCATGCATTTAAAAATATTTTCTATGGAAAAATAAAACGTTTTATGCATAATTTATTCTATATGTACATAAATTTTCATTACTATCAGAATTTTTCAAACTGAATTTATAATATAACTTATCTGACTGAAAACTTTTGTGACTGATTGTATCATAAAAAAACTTTCAAATACTTAAAATTCTTTTTTATACATTTTCCTAGCAAGTATTATAGTTACATAAGTACATTGTTCATTTATTTATTTTCGATCACATTATCATTCAACATTTTTTGATAGATACTAGATATAAAGCATACATTGAATTATTTTTCATCGTATTTTCATCATATTATTTTTCATCATTCAATTTCATTCAATGTTCATCCCATGAAATGTTTTCCATGAAATTCTTCTATATCTATTTTATTGCCAAAGAATTTCTACCATGCAGCTCTACGTAAGGAACAGAACCAAAAAAAGATACAAGAAGCAAATCCCAAATTCATAAGATTCTAGACTAATTTATCCATACTCAATGAGATTTATGGTGGTCTGATAAATGAGGGATTCCTCGAATTGTACAGCTAAAGTCATTGATTGAAGGCAATCGGTTAATAGGACTTATGAAATCGAATGCATTGCGACCGGTTTTGTATCCGAATGTCTGTGAGCGGAGTGCAGAATACACGCAAGGTGATCAGAAAGTAAAGAAGTTGAAGGTATTTCGAATGTTTCTCGAATGTCATTAATATGTACAGCGTTGTGCGTCGATGGCGGTAAATTCGAAATTTGTTAAAATATTGAAAATTATTCAATCGAAAGTAAAATCTTTGGAAAACTTTAAACAATTGAGAAAAAATAAAGTTTAAATTATTTAATATGTGAAATAAGATTTGTCAAGAAATTTATTTAAAAAACTTTAGAGATTATTGTAATTTGCAAATTGTCAAACATATGTTTATAAGAAAAATATTAAAAATTTCATTTCTTTCTTAATTTTCGTATTTTGATTTTCTTTTATATAATTGTCAAATAAAATTTTACATAAAGAGAGAAAAATTTTCATATATTATTTTAATCTTTTTCTTCTTGTCGTTTCTTTTATTGTCGAATGTATCTTCGTAAAAATATCTATTGTTTTCTCTTTCAATTTTTTGTTTATAAATTATTACAAAAAAAAATACAATTTTATATAATATAAAAGAACGTTTTGATCTATTTTTATCTTATGTTTTGATTATTTGTTATCAAAAAATGCGAAATAAAAGAAATATCACGCATTTCACAGAAACATTTTCATGCATTTCTTTTTTTTCAATTGAAAATCTTGTAGTAGGAGAAGAAAAACTCTATTTTTAACAAGTTTAAGAAAATTAAAAACAAAATTTCTTATAAAATTATTATTTTGACTTAATGTTAAAAAAAAAAATATTTACACGATACTAATTATCAAATCAAAATACTAGTTATAAATCTTTATTTTAATTTTTAAAATTTGCCAAAATACCATCAAAATCAATAAATTTTATATTGACAATGAACGATAAAACATACTTTATTAATTCATATTTATTAAATATAAGAAAAATATGTAAATATTTTCTGTGAATATTAAAATCTAAGTAATATTATTCATATTGTACAAAACACTAATAGAAGAAAGTCCAAAATCTGTAATAAATGGCTAACTTTTTCATCGACTTATGAAACTTGTATCAAACAATGTGAAATATTTTCTTTTTTTTTTTTTTTTTACATATATCATATTTTAATATAACAAATATGACAATATTGAAAAACAAAAATTGTTATATTTTCTGTGAAACTTTAAATTTATTCGTCAAATGTGAGTTTCAATTTTACATCGTATTGCGCATTCTTTCCACAGTTTCTCGTTATGGCAGAAAAAACAAGATTACCAAAGTGTATATATATTTTGTGTAGTTTCTTCACACTACATTCGTACAACGTTGAAAATGGGCGAGCGATAAAATCCAAAGGAGGTACGATCTTGATGATTTCTGTATTCATGGAAAAAGAAACAGAAACGGTTATGAATTCTAACCATATCTCACAAAAATCAGTGCACATTGTTACACATTCTACGTCACGTGCTTTTCGAAATTGTGCAATAAGCGATTGGTGTAAAATGATTGCGACAATTATATAAATACATCATATAAGGTATTATCATGACGAGAGTATGCTTGTATATTAGTTTTTTTTTGTCATGGGGAATAAAAAGAAAAAAAATCGATTGCATTACGTCAGATTGATCATTAGAGGCTAGATATAGACTAGAGACTTTTCCTTTCTTTCCATTCTTTAATGGTTCGAGTTGAAAACGAATAACTCGAATTTTTTAATTAGCAAACAATTGCATAACATCGATGCATTCTCACTGGTTAATATTTGTGTATAGCGGTTAGTTTTAATGGTTAAATATTAATTTGTATTTTAACAAAAAAGAATATCGCATGTAAATTTTCTTGTTTATATTTGAAAAATTTTTCTGACCGCACTATAAATTTTCTATACTATAAATTATTAATATAATTATATAATTATATTTATAAATATATAAAATTATTATATTATATACAGTAACAGTTTGAACAAATAACATATATTTTATATAAAATTAAATTTTATAATGTAATTTTCTAAGAAGAATCATTTTTGATATTAAATTTAAAGTGAAAATATTCATTTACAATTTCTTTAATTTTTATTTTAAACAATTTTAAAAGATATATTTTCGTAGTTACTTATTACTTGAATTAATTGAAAATTTCGATTTACAACCGCTCATATAAAGAACAAATGTTCCGATTGTTCTGTTATCGGGATTAAAAGTGCAACAATCTGTTGCAACAAACGAAATAAAGTGAAATTTCATCCAGGATTATTATGTCCAATCCATTCGACAAGCCGACCAACACCGAGAGACGAGTTAATCCGAGCATGTAATTGTCGCGGTTTTAAAATAAAAGGTGAACGGCCTTAAACCAGCTCTCGATCTGAATATATCGTAGACATGCGCGCATAATTTTTCACGAACCAATAAGAAAATATTCGTTTTACAGTTACATTATATGACCGCGATAATAAAAACACTGAACCACCTTCAATCAGCTGAATAAATGTTCTCTCGAGACTTGAAAGGAAACAAGAAAGTAAGAATAGAATGAAAAAATCACTATTTGTTTTGCAAATAGATCACTTGTAAATTAAGATAATCATTTTTCTTTTTATTACGTATGTATATAATTTTTCTGTTTATTATTTTTTTACTAATCTAAAACGGTGAAGAATTAAATAATATTTTATTATTATTATTAATTTAGTAACAGATTTTAATAAAATTTTAATAAAAAAAAAAACAAAATATTTAATCATTCGTGTGACACAAAAGATCAAGTTAAAAAGATTAAGTACATATAATAAGCAAAACCAAATTGAAACATATGTTAATTCAGATATTTAATTTTTTTCTATTTTTTTTTTATAATTCCTATCGTGATAAGTTTCACTATTTTAAAGAAAATGTAGGATGATTATGAGATAATTTAATAATAAATTCATTATTATTAAGAATTTCTCAGAAAATTAAATTTTCGATTTTTAAAAAATTTTAATTGATTGCATGTAATATGCAAAAACTTAGAATAGTATTACAACATTCTTAGATATAAAAGTTAAATAGCAATTTGAAAGTAACAATTTAAATGCAGAGATACTGAACGTTCGAATTAGTATTATAATTTATTATAAGTATGTAGGTATTTAACTGCCTATTTATCTAGCTATCTGTTACTATATGAGAAATTTTATTAATAAAAAGAAGTTACTATAAAAAACGTAATAGATAATGTTTCACAAATTATCAATTCTTTTAAAGAGATTAATTTTTGATCTCAAATTTTATACAATATAATACAAAGAAAAACATATTGTAAAAAAAGGAATCAAAATAAATATTTAATAATTTAATTTTCAATTTTTTAATATCGTATTCTCATAATTTTGATAACAATTAATACTTACTTTCTTTTTTTAAATTTACCTCAGCATTCAAAATTAAATTTCAATGGAAAAACTTAAGAAACTATTTTATTGTTTTATTAAGAAAGTTTAAAATTATTTATTATCTCATAAAAATATTTTTCAAATTGTTGAAAATTTATCAAAAAGATTAGATTAAAGTAGATTATTTAAATTCAAATTAGATTTAGCTTAAGTTTGCTTTCATTAAAAATATAACTTAATTATAATATTTAAAATAAAAATTAAATTGAAATCTGACACGATATTACCAAAATTGGACTAGATAATTAATAAATATCGATATTTTTAAACATCTATCGAAACTTTGAAACATAAGAAGGGAACAAAGTGATTTCTAACAGCTTCAGTAAGAACTAAAAATAATTTAGCCTGGTTGAATATTCAATCTGATTAATTCGCGATATAATCCCGATAGCGGAGAAGATAATCGTTTACTGTTACAATGTTGCAGATCCGTGATAGGGCGGACACAATCCGCAATAATCTGGCTTTTGCTGCTACTGGTAACCTGGCGAAACAAAGATAGTTGCAACGGCCTGCAATATCAGCCGGTCGAGGTTTATGCAAACGGCGATGACTGCGCTCTGATCCTGAATGGGCCAGGGAGGACCACCGTCTTCGATTATACCTACAATTTGTTACGTGGTTCTTTGTAAGTAATATTAATATCTTTGTGTCAAAGTATGCGTTTTTTCTCTTGTACTACTTGAACGCATCTTTAGCTTCTAATCTGTTCGAATGGCGTGGTTGAAGCGAATCGCCTACGGCGAGAATTTTTTTTTTCAGTTGATTTATTGAGCGCATCTTTCGCTACATACATCTATTAACGTTGTTACGACATTATTTCTCGAGAGTTTGGCGAGAGTTTAACGATAGGCGGACATCAGTATTCTTATTATTTGAGAAGATTTCCTGTTTATAAGAATTTCTTAATTCCTGGGAATTTTTTAACATTTCTTTATAAAATTTTATAGATATAAATATATAGTAATTTTTATGAGAGAATTATTCGTTATTTTTGCGTTTAAAGTTTAAAAATTAAGTTATATATCTTATAAATGTTCTTGTAATAAATTATAGATAATTTTATACATTGATGTAATTACAATGTTTTTTCTAAAACAAGATAGATTTTGGTTAATTCGCTTCAAGTATTTTTATAATAACTTGGTATAGAAAAATATGAAGAAAAGAAAAAAAAAATGTTCAAATTATTTTAGATATTTTTTTTATTATTAAAAAATTAGATTTATATTATTTGTACATAATAAAAATATTCTCAATTTTTCTTTTAATTTTATTTAAATTAGATAGAAAAATAATTGAATTATAATATTGCATTTTATATTTTTATATTCAATGAACGCCATTTTGATTAAAATGGCATTTTGTAGGAATTAATTAATTGTATTTAAACAAAAGATTATTAAAATAAATCGAATTATTAAGATATCATAAGTTATCAATTTATGTATTTGTTGATTTTTATTAATCTTTTCAAAATATAATTAGATATCGATAAATTCGGAACACAAAATTTAAAAATAGTATTCTTTCAGCATTAAAATATTTTTGTCTTTTTGATATCAACATTCTCTACACAATTATTAATTTAAAAATTATAATTTAGCTAGTTCTTTTTTATAATTTTATTATATTATATTATATAAAATAGAATAATAAAATAACATATAATTTTCAAAATTGATTCATAGAATTTTCTTTCTTTCATTATCAAACTTGTTACTAAGTAACATAATTTTTTTAAATTAATATAATTTGTTGCTTATAAAAGTTCATTAATAATATTAATTCATTCGTAAGAGCAAGAAAGCTGAAGTAAAAAAAAAAATACTTATTTTAAATTTTTATTAAAAAATTAAATTTGATTTTAAAATCATTAATTATTAACTATATAGATACATATATAGTGTATATAGGAATATTTAAATCGACTTACTTGAATATTTGTCAAAAATTAATTTCAAATAATTTCAAAATACAAAAAGCATACAATTTGATATAATTTAATTAATTAAATAATTTAGTGAACGTATCAGAGGAAGGATAACTTTATTTTTTCAAATTGAATTACATATTTTTTATATTTTATTTATAATTCAATATTTTTTATAAAATAATATTAAGATTTTTATAATATAAAATTATAAATTCAAAAGATATTTTAATTTGACATAATTTATAAAGACAATTAAATATTATGCCTTTAAATATAGAGATTTATTCTATTTCTAAATAATGAATTTGAATTTCTATTAGATTTATCTAATGTTAATAAAATTGCATCGAAAGTAATTTTGAACAAGAATAACAAGCTTTAATCTTGATATTTATGATATCAATGTTCAATATCGCAATAATATTGCATCATCATGGATTATAATTTTAATTATAATTCGATAATTAAATTCATCAATCTATTCATATTGATTGCTATTGATAAGTTTAATAATTGCTGTCACTTCGTGATATTTTATTCACATCGATCTTTCAATTTAATCTTCGTATTTTATTTAAGAAACACATGAAAGCTGTAATTATATCCTTTATATATTTCACTTGGCTTTGAAGTGGCCGAATTAAGACGGGATTATTATGCAATGCCGTGAAACTTTTTGACGTTTGGAGAAAGCAGGAACTTCATTCAAAAATGGTAGTGGACTTTCACTAATCAACTAATCTCTGCTCCTTTTATTATACTTGATCATTATCTTATAAGTTGTAATGCACTAAAAATTTGCGTAACATTTCTTACATATAACTATAATAAGTATTCTTACATATAACTATATCATTTCTTACATATAACTATATAATTCTTCTAAAAATTCAGTAATTTATAATCTTATTATTTCATAATTTAGAATTAAAATCAATTGAAATATAGTAAAAATTTAACTTTAGTGCAATGTTAGAGCTCTCATTCTATTTCCATCTTATTTCGTTCAATACAAATTTCAATTTTTTATAATTATTTTAACAAATAAGCCTCGAACAAATTTTTGTGTTTGTATATCGATTTTTTTCGAAAGTTTTATGAATATATTAAAAGTCTGTATATAAATATTTAATATCTTTCATTCTTTTGATTTTATAAACTTATATTGTTCTTATATAAGATTATACAAATACAGTGAAATTTTTATATTCGCCATTAATTTCTGAAAAATATAACGAATATCGAATTAAACGAATATAAAATTAAATTTTAATAGAACAATTTTTCTTTAATATAATAATTAATAAAGAATTATAATTGGTTTTCAGCCTTGAATCGCATCAAAATAAAAATTTGAACAGGTATTTATTTTTATTGAAAAGTTATAATGACAGAAAATGAGCCACGCAATAAAAAATTTTTTAATGACGAATATTGGATTGTTTGATGAATATTGAAATATTTTCTTGGCAAAAAAATATGATGAATAATTTGACAAATATGGAGACGAACGAATTATAGGTATTTTTGTATTTTATTTTTCTAAAAAAAAGTGATCAGAATTGATAATAATGTTTTATTTTTAAAATAAAATATTCCAATAAAATGGATAAAATATCTATAAATAAAATAAATAACTAAGAAATCATAAATCTTTACCAGTGAAATCGCAACGGTATTTATCATTCGTTTGTATTCACACTGTTACAACACTCACGATCCTGTTAAACATAATTCACACGAGACATTGAACGACTAATAATAATTTATCATAAAAAAATAAAAATTCGCTCTCCTCACGTCATGTTCGTGAGAATGTGTAACGAGATCCTACTATTACATGTTATGGAAAACTTGATCTCCTTTTGTTTATCAACATGCATAACACAATAGAGGACTCTGTTCTTCTAACTCCCAGTTACAGAACCTTGAAATAAATTATGGAACTATAAAATTCCTTGATATTTTAATAAAACTAAAAATAACGGATCATTTAAGGAAAAAAAAAAAAAGTCTGTGATTTTGATATGGAAAAGATAAAATTCTTAAAGTAATTATTCATGATAATTATAAAAATTTCTTCTTGAAACAAAAATACAGGAAATGAATGATTGACGAATGAATTATTAATAGGAAAGTCGGCAACAAGAAGATAGAAATTGCTCAACTTTGTAGCTATTGTCTCCAATTATAATACAATGGATTGAGAGTAGAATTTTAAATAGATTCATAAAAAAAGTTAATATATATTTCAACATATATTTGGGATTTTAATATATTTTTTTAATAAAATATTTACAATCATTATATCATATATTTTCATATAATTTTTGTTGCATATATATGTAGATATCTGACATGATTAAAATTATAAAAAAATCCAAAAAACAGATTGTTGAAATTATAAACAAATCTAAGTAAAGGGTATTTCGACATCAAATAAAAAAATAAGTTATAAATTATAAATTATTATTAAAAACTAAACTATGAATTAAATCAATTAAAAAATCAATTAAAAAATTATTATAGTTTTCATCGTAAAATCAATTAAGATTCTATATTTTTAGATGTAATGATATTTCATGTGAAATTTTATAGAAAAGGAATTATAAGAAATTAGAAAATATTTTACAATTTTTTTATAACTGTTTCATTAATAAACTAAAAGAACTTAAAAAATTCTAAATATATCCTAAGAATTCTTATTGTCAAAAAATCAAAAAACTAACAATTTTTATTTTATTAAAAACGAGTAACTTATTCATTTTAAAAGTAATTCTCTAATAAAAATAAAATATAATAATTATATTCATTATAACATAATTCGCATAATTTTAAGTTAATTAATTTTCTCATAGAAAAAAATTCGTTTTAATCAAAATAAGAAATTATTTTTAACATTAAAAATAATAATTATTCAATTGATATTCATAATCAGTTATTTTTTTTTAATTTAATAAATATTATCCATATTAGAAAATACGAATTCTTTCTTTAATTATGTATTTCTATTGATTTCTTTAATACTATAATTTTTGATTTTAGTAAAAGAAAAATTCTAATAAAATTAACATTATATATAATATATAAATAAGTCTTCAAATGTTTCAAAGAAATTCAGATATTTTTTTAAAGTTTCTAAAAATATATTAGAAAATACTATATAAAAGAATATCATTATTATATATAAATATTATATATAAAAGAACAACGAGTGCAATCTCTAAGATTTTTTTTTATAAAAGAATATTCGAAAAGTTTATTATCGTCAATTGAAGCTCGTATAATATCGTATAATAGATACAAATCATCCGCGAATATTTGTTTTATGAGCATCTTGCCTAACAAGAAATCGATTTATTAATCCCATTTCTGGACAAAGATTCACGGTTTATCGCCGTGACAGGGCATGATTCGCAGTTCTAACAATACATAATACGATTGCAACGTTTCCCTTGCAATTACGAGATTCGAACAGCCTACGCGTGGCCGTGCGCTCATAAGCATTATTGTACGTTAATGCGAACGAACGTGAGCCGTGCTGTCGGATGCTCGTGTAGTCACGATTAAATCTTCCAATCGTGAAAAAAAACCGTCACGGTTGTTCGTGATTCTTTTGCGGCTGTCCGCCAATAAAACACGACAGATCTGTCTGGATAAAAGGAAGCAACAATCCGGTCGCAAATCCGCCA